TTAATAGTTTAAAAAACTGAAGAAGAGCAGATTTTGCGTCAATACTGGCTCATAGATGGGTGAGAAAACGACATAATTATGCAATCTGAGTCCTTATTCTTGGACACTGTGTCATACCTTCGTCATCCTAGGAAGAAAACATCAGCTTGTAGAACACTACTGCAGTAAGCTAGTTAGCCAAGCATGCTAATATTTACAGCTAATTATAGAGCAAAAAACACACTGCTTCATCCCGATCTTACACTTTTGATCTGGTTTGATCCAAATTCAGATGGAGAGTAACGCTCTTACTACATCCCCCACGATTCCTCAGTGTTTTGAAAATGCTTAACAGTTCCACATCCAACATACATAGCTTTATCAGAGTTCATGTGGCTTTTACGTTTTGATGGACAGAAGATTAATATTTAAAGACTCTCTTTTGTGGCGTCCTCCAGGGGTCTATTCTGGGACCCTCTTATTGACTAAATGCAGGATCAAGGCTGGATCCGAAACCTTGATACTTTTATGGCACTGACCAAATTGCATCAATACTGCAGAGTACTGGAAAATTAAGAAACCATTGGAGTAAAAATCTGTGACTTTGTGTTAAATGAAGGAACCAGAAATTTTTTTTATTAAAACAATGAAAAACAAACAGCTGCTTCATTTCCAACACTGAGACCAGACGACTTTCTCTTAAACTGAGAAGTTGTGTGAGTGCTCTTACTCTGAAAATAAGAACAATATATATATGCAACCATTGTTGTTACTGGTTGAATCAACCTCAATATTAGCTGGAATATCTTATTAAGACACAGTTAGATATATTTTCTTAAAACCAGATTCTAATGCAGAACATGCTTGAAAAGATTATTTTATTGACAAAAAATAAGACTCATTCCCCAGAAACAAGGCTGTGTTACTTTATTCAGACTCCTTTTGCAGTGTATATAAAGTGTTATATGTCTAAATAATGTCTAATAATCTGTAATCTGTTTTCAACACTGGAGTAAAGCTAATTCTTGTCTCTGCAGCGGAGACAGCCGTGCAGCAGGACAGTAAGCAGATCCAGGTGGACCTGCAGGACCTGGGCTACGAGACCTGCGGCCGCAGCGAGAACGAGGCCGAGAGGGAAGACACCAGCAGCCCGGGTACGTCTGAGGGCGTCTGCAGGACGGTCTGAGGGCTGTTTGACACAAAGACAGTGAAAACAACTAAACACTGTACAAATGTTCAATTAGTCTGTTTCCTGTTGTTGTAATAACATCTTAACACCACCAGAGGGAAGCAAAGTCCTCACACACAATGACACTGCACAATGACAGTACAGAGAAAACACTTCAGATGATCACTTTTCTTTTTGAATCTATATTCTAACAGAATATGTGTGCATAAAAAATGAGATCTGACATGAATGTGTCCCCTCACAGAGTTTGATGACCTGGAGATGTGTACGTCTCTGGACTGTGGTTCCCAGTGGTGGCCCGCCAACAGCAGCAGCAGCTCCACCTTCACTAAAACCACCGCCACCACCCAGAGCGCCGCCTGTGGAGACGAGTCGTCCCTGCAGCGCCTCGTCGAGGACCTTCGCTCCCAGTTGTCCCGCTCTCAGGCCATGATCCGGGGCCTCCAGAGCCGGCTCCGCTCCCTCTCAACATCCAGCGACTGCACGCCCTCCACGCCCCGCAAGGTCAACTGGTCCTTCCAGGCGTCGCCCTCCCACAGCGGGGCGGAGGAGGACGAGGGCTGGCAGTCGTCTGACGGAGGGCCCCTGGCTTCTCCCCGGCACCCTCACCCAGACAAGGGCCTGGAGGCTCTGGTGTCCCGTGTGGACGCACTGGAGGACCAGCTGAGGAAGGGAGGAAAAAAGTCTGTCAGCGAGGACGGAAAGTCTGCCACCTGGCCGGGGTGAGCGACAGGAGATACACATACATATATGTACATATATAAATACACATACATATATGTACATATATAAATACAGCAGGGAATAAGTTCCATCTTTATATAGAGAGACAACTAAAAAGTCAAAGGAATGTTACGACAAAAAGTCCAAATTTAAAATAACTTATATAATATATTCAAAAAGGTAAAGACAGGATTACATAATGAATACATTAGCAGTAAATATGATTCATTGTGGTATTTCATTGCACTTCCTGGACATGGTTTCACAATAAAAGCCAACCAGAAAAAGGAGGGATTGAGAAATATCTGTACAGGAAGTGTTCAGTTTCATTGGTCGAAAATATGTGGAAGCGATCAGAAATAATAAATGAATAAAAACATTAATTCTGCTATAAAACAGAGAAAGTGATTTCAGCAGAGCAAAGTTAGTATAGTTAAATAAAACAAACCTGAAAACTGGGTTAAAAAACTATTAAAAACTATAAAACTATAATACTTGTGCGGCAGAGTGGTCACAGGACAGTTATTGCATTAATGGAAAGTTTATTTGTATATTTATTTATCAAAATAAAACTTGGAGTAAAACAGGGAGACGTCTAAAATACTAAAATATGAGAAAAAGCTTCTAAAACAGGAGAAATAAGTGTTTCTCTTTGCATTTGAAATAAAGATTTGACAGTATAAACATATACAGTGGTGTGATGCTCTGATTCAGGTCCAGTAAAGTGAAGGAGGACTGTACAGTGCAGATGTGTGATCCATTAATCACTGCAGGCATTAAACAGTCCGTCAGTCTCCGTCAGTGTCACTCTGTGGTAATCAAGCGTAGCCGCAGATGTTTCTATGTAAACTCAGCTGACCTGACAGTCAGCAGGGGATTAACTAACACGAGGTCGGGAACACACTGTCCCGTTTGCCATGTGTGACCAAACTGTAGCTGCAGTGGAGCTTCAGCGCCGTCACTCAGAGGCTGATTACTGTTACAGTCTCTCCCCTCACAGCCAGACCCTGCGTGGAGTCCTGAGCCCAGCATTCAGAGGCAGTTCCCACCAGTGTGTGTTTAAACGTTGTATATTAGAAATTCAGTTTCCACTGGAGGTCACACTAGAGCACGAACATCTCAGACCAAAACAATGAGACAAAAACCAACTGAAACTCACCAAAACTGCCAACAACTAAAAATACTAATGAAAAGGGACACAGCGTAGTCTAACGTTAATCCTTGGGTTAAAATACACCCATTAAAGTCCACTAACAGTAGTTGTTGTTTGTTCCACTAACAGTAGTTGTTGTTTGTTCCACTAACAGTAGTTTCTGCCACTGACAGACTCAGGTTGTTATTGTCAGTGGTCTGACAGCATAGGAAAGGATCACCTAGAGATAGACTTTAGTATTAAACCACAAACAGCTATTATCCACTATCACTCTCCACAGACTCCAGAGACAAAAACACTCATTTTACCTTCAGATCATCGTAACTTCATTCAAAGTGGACAGAAACAGAATAAAACTCATTAAAACCGTCTCTGTTAGTGTTTCATCAACTCTGGTTTGGTGGAAATCCTTAATTCACCGACTTAGATGATAAAAACAGCAGTTTGTCCATTCATTTGAAAGGTTCACAGATCTTCATGGTGACTATATTTAACACTCATTTGTGTTTTTGTCTCTTTGTAGTAAATTCGACACTCTGATCCAGACTCAGGCCAGAGAGCTGTCTCACCTCCGCCAGCGGATGAGGGAGGGTCGGGGGGTGTGCAACATCCTCACCCAGCACCTGGGAGACACCACCAAGGCCTTCGAGGAGCTGCTGAGGGCCAACGACATCGACTACTACATGGGCCAGAGCTTCCGGGACCAGCTGGCTCAGAGCGGCGCTCTGGCACAGCGAGTCTGCGCCAAGATCAGCGGACGTGAGTCGCCCCCTCAGAAATCAGCGTCTGTCCGATGCTTGAATGATGTTTGACACTCGAAGGATGTTTTCACCGTCAGCTGCTGATCATTTAGATTAAAATGTGTTTTTTAACTGACTTTTTAAGGACTTTAATGTGAAAATGATATTATTAGTTTGAATTTTGATTTAAAATACAAACTTACAGGGAGAATAAAACACAAAGGGCACCTTGCCTACTAAATATTTATAATTGTTAAAAAATAAATAAATGAATAACAAAGGTGGATAAATGTGGAAAAAGTTCCTACAGATATCAGAAAAACTCATCTATGATCAATATTCACATTATTTAATTTAACCCTTAATCAGTAAATCCTCATTGAGATTAAAATTATGTTATTTAAATGATTTTTTAAGGATTTTATTGTGGAAATTATACTGTTATTTTCCCCAGTAAAACGTATCAGACACACATTATTGTAATAACACTAGATCTCAGCATTTCATTCATTTGTAACTATAACGTGAAGTGAAATTGTTAAAGTTTAAATTATTATTAAGATACTAATTTACTTACTTAGTATAAATGTTGAATTTGTCAAAAAAGAATTGAATATAATGTAAAATATAGAGAGAAATATGACAGAAAAGGGCTCCCTTAAACAAAGAAGGTTGGGAACCACTGGTCGTAACACATGTATGGAGTGGATCTTTAACTTCATTATTTATAACAACCAACCAACATACGGAGTCTCAGAAGTGACAAATTTCATTAAAAGACCGTCTGATTGATTTAAAGTGTAATTGAGTGTAAAGAGTTAATTACATCAGTGCTCTTTCTCTTCCAACAGGAGATCACCCCGAAGATCCAGACGAGAAGACAGAGCTGCTCGCCATCCGGTCAGTGTGTGTGTGTGTGTGTGTGTGTGTGTGTGTGTGGAGTTAACAGCGGGCTCTGTGTCGGTCGGTCAGTGGAAAGTATCGCTGCGTGACGCTCGGGCTCCTCGGGGCAGAACAATCAGATGCTCACTCGATAATGAGCGATGATCTCACTTGATGATTGCTGACAGAGCTAATTGGTGAATTATTAATGAGGGGGGTGGGGGTGTGGGTTGGGGGGGTGGATGGATGTGTAACTACCAGAAGGGCACAGATAAACTCTCTGAATCTACTTCTTTATGGTTCTTACTGATCTTACCTTAAAACCTCCACATATTAACACCGTCTGAACAGTGTCTACTCATTTACTAGCAGTTAGCAGTCAAACCGTGTGTCCACTCTTATTTCTTGCCGCTGGTTGCAGCCGGGCCGTCTCGTTTGGGCCCTGTCGGCGTCAGGGAAGCTGCTCTGACGTCACAGTGTTACAAAAGTGCTCTGACGTCACAGCGCCGCGGGGCAGAGCCGTCGCCCTCCACCACCAAACATTCATCCAAACTATACAACTCATTAATTTCTTGCCGGGGAGCCGTGGCCGGCGGGGGACAGCTGACATCCGAGCGAGGACCTTAACTGTCCGGTCGATTGGTCGGCTAATTAGGCGGACGGCAAAAAGAGGAAGAGAGGGATGATGAGGGGACGAAAGAAGAGAAAAACAAAAGGGCAGCACAAGTGAGATCAGGACAAACGGTTATACAAGAGGAACAAAAAAGTTTAAAGTTGTGCTGTAGATTGCTTCATGTGTTCCAATAACAGGAGAGGAGCTAAAGGGTTAGCTCCAGGAATAATGTCTTGTAGCCTTTAAATTTCCACTAATTAATATCTTTATACTTGTTATAAATCAGATTGCCATGTGTAATGTGAAAGGTGTTGTTCATAGTGACAAACCCAACCAACTGAGCACTTTCACGGAGCCTTTTAGCCTCTTTTAGCTGCTCGTTTTGGTTTTGTGGGACATTTACTGTCTGGTTTAGTCTGGTAATGGGACTTACGTTGCAGTGGGATGATCATGTTGCTCTGTATCTCATGGATGAGTAATTAGTAAACCTTTTGGCACAATTACTTTTTAAGGTGATTGTATGTCAAGGCTGTGGGGACCATATTATTTCCACACCACATTTTACCTCTCCTAGGCATGACAGCGTCAACACGTGCTCATTCTGCTTTCCATATGAAGTGCAGTTTGGTTAGGTTCAGGAAAAGATCATGAGTTACATTGAGTTTGGTTTCATGTCGGACTTGAACAGCCTAAACATGTGAACTGAGAAGATGTGTTTAAATTCCATCAGCAGCAAATTCAAACAAGAGCGGAACAGAAAACAGAGACATTGTACCAAAATATGATAAAATATGCTCATAAAACAGGATAAATAAGGAATAATGTCTTTTGCATTTGAGGTAAATAAAGCTTCTGGACACTTTTTGAGATTTTACAGTATGAATGAACAAAAACACTGGTGTGATCCTTTGATGAAGATAAAATACAGTTATCTTTAAAGTCTTTAAAGGACTTTAAAGTACAGATCAGCCTGTACAAGAATGGAGGACATCATTTCTTAAATGTGCCTCTCAAGAAGGAAAATGTTCATAAGAATTTCCCACAGTTACTCTAAATAATCCAAAAACCTCAGAATAAACAGTTTTTTTGGAACTATTTGGAACTAACAGCCCATAAAGCTCGACTAATTAAAGCTCCTTGAGTGCTGTATAATGTATAAAGCCCTTTTTTATGAATATTGCAGATATAGCCTGGCAGCATGTGGCCATCTCTTCTGGATGAGTGATGAACGTCCTAAATGTTCACTCACTTATATTACGACACCTAATTCTGTTTCATAACCTGAGTTAATGAAAAGCAAATCACAGTTTATGAACTTTCAACTGCACAAAAAGCCTTTATGATCCTTTAAAGCTCGCCCGCTGTTGTTGTTGGGTGGAGAAAGGTGAGTGTCGGGTCAAACAAACAATGCTCTGTGAATAATTAGAGATGCCCTCAGAGAGACAGAGAGACATAGAGGCAGACAGAGAGAGAGAGAGGCCTGCAGTAATCTAATGTTGCAGCGCAGATGGCCGACCAGATGTGAAGGAGAATTATCGAGTGTGTTCTGCGACAGTCATCTCATTTCCACTGTCCCTCTGTACATCCTGTGTGTGTGTGTGTGTGTGTGTGTGGAGGGGTTGTATCCTGTGCATTAACATATACATTAACACCAAGACTGTGGCGATGATGCATGAAAAGATAGAGAAAATAACAACCCTGACTTATAAAATGATGTTTTTATGTTACTTTCTTTGAACGAAACCCAGTTTTATATCAACAAACACGTTTAAAGAATGTGTCTAATGATATCTCGTAACCACTAAAGCAAGATTAACATCGTTATGTGCAGACAGATGAAGCACTCAATCGGGGTCTGGTTGAATATTAAGTCCACACTGGCTTGAGTCACGAAACAGGATGCGTTTATTTCTCAATATTTAACTAGAACCAAGATCTTAACCGGTGTCTTTATTATCTGGTAAATCTGTTCAGTAGTATTATGGATGGAGACAATAAGGTAACCACACAAACATCAGTACACCTGGGGGTACAATATTACACTATTATCACTTACCGAAGGATAAAGGCGAGCTTTGGTTAAATCACCAACGTTTTAAAATGTGTTTGTAGTCATAACTGAGTAAACTTCACCAGTGGGTCAGTCATTAAATACGTACACAGGGTTCCAGTTATAATCTGAGCTGGGTCTCTAAAATAACTAACGTTGGGGCAGAGATTAATAAATAATAACCTGACAGATGTGCTTTCCATGAGAGACAGAGAGAATTCTGCCCTTTTTGGTAACATATGAAAGTAGGTGTGGGAGGATGCATAGAGTGAGCAGAATGTAAGAGAGTAGTAGTTAATGGAAATAATACTCATTACTTTAAAAATGCATTATTTGTCATTAAAATAATGGTTGTGTTCACATGTTAGAGACCCCCCACAGATTGTACTGCTTTCATTGGAGCTCAGAAGTAACTCAAAGTCAGAAGATCTTAAAGTTTCCAAACATACCAAACATGGCTGGAATTTGGGGAAATGTGTGTAAAACAATTTATTTAATTATTGTATAATATTTTAATCAAAAAAACCTAACTTAGTGGCATCTTGTAGTGAAGTTTTAGCTTGTAACCAACTGAATACTGCTTCCTTTCCAAGCGTGTAGGAGAAACTACAATGGCCAAGAAACTCACTAAAACTCACTAAAAACATCTCATTCTAAGGTAACGAAAACACAACTATTCTTATTTTCAAGTGATTATTCACTAGATCCTCCTCAATGTTACACACTGGAGCTTTAATACTTCACTCAGCTTCATATGGCTTCAATGGAGAGCTGGAACGAGCTGATACACAATATGTACACTATATGATAGTAAATAAATAAAACTAAGTGTCAGTGAAAACAAATACTGTCTTTAACTGTAGTTGAATTAAATATGCATTACTTGGATAAATGTGTATATATGTGTATATACAGTGTGAGTGCACTGAGGCTTGTGCTGGCTGCGTTGGGCTCGGGGCATGTTGACATGGCTTCTAATCAGGTTAAGTTATTAAGACCTCCAATAGGCAAGGAAATAGGTCAGGAGCAGCTAACACACAGAGAGAGGGAGAGAGGGAGAGAGAGAGAGACAGAGAGAGAGGCAGAGAGAGCTTCAGAGTATCAGGAGCAGCACATGGTGCTAACATCCAGCACTGCTCTGATCTTTATTCACCATAAACCTGGATTTTCTTTATTTGTGGGGATGTGAAGCAGGTCTGACTTGACTTTGTCTATTTCTCCGTCTGCTGTTGAGCATCTTTGTATTTTCTTCAAGCTGAAGCTGGATGTAAAGTTTTCTTCTGGTGCTTCCTTCGGTAAATTCTTGAATTCATCCATCAGAGTGGAAGTTTGCATGTTTTCTGCGGATGGACAGATGTGCTCAGAAAACCAACAAACAAGCAGTAGACGGATAACGTGCGGCTTTGTGGCTGATCATTCATTCAGCTTCTGTTTCCCTCTTTCTCTGATGGGCAGTGCAGCGTGAACGCACGAGCCCTCGGGATCCGGACGTCCGTTTACACACTCATCCCTCTTTGCTTCTCCTCCCTCTTCGTGTTGCTCTTTCGTCACTGCAGCTCTCCCTCAGGGCTGCTGCTGCTGCTGCTGCTGCTGCGTTCACTGGTGGGATAGGTTGTGACCAGAGTGGTAATAAGACACTCTCCTTTGATTTGAGGGGAACTATTCAAGACATCACTGCAAAATGGACTCATTCTAGGACCAAAGACAGGGAAAAGGAGGAAGAAAAGAGGAAGAAGAAGGAGATCCAGACTGAAGCTGCATGCTTCCTCGGGCAGCTGAATCTGGTTTCTGTTCACCAAAGGGCTAATTATAATTAACATTTTTGTATTTAGTATTTAAATCAATCTCAGGCTCTGGAGTAAAATCTCCCACCAGTGCTTTTATTTGATGCGCACTGTGAGCTGGCAGCTGGTCCTGGTCCAAACCATCTGACGGGTCTGCTGTGCTCGGATCACAAACAGTTGGACGTCATCTTGTTGTTGCAGCAAATGCACAAATCCTTTCAATCTGCTGTGTGAATCAACAGTCCTCAGCCTGCACACCTACCTTAGAATCTGACTTTGGATTTATTTGGGTTACCACCTGTGGTCCCAGGCCAAACTGTCCCAGGACTGTGTGTTTGTGTGTGTGTGAAGGGAGCCACACAAAATCTCCCGGGAAGCCTGAATCTAATCGGAGGATTTGCTCTGCTTTTCACCTGGTCGCCCACACGCTCAGTCATCCCTCCATCCCTTTATCCCTTGCTCATGCTCTGCCTATCTACTGTACCTGCTGTCACACACACTCTGGGGTCAGGACCTCGGCCGCAAAGCTAATGAGCCACGCTCGGTTACCTCTGGAGACACAGCCGGGAGGAAAAACCGCAACGGAGAGAGTTTTAACCGACCCAGGGGTCTGAGAGAGAGCGGAGACGACACGGGAGGGATGGTCAGTCAGTAGCCCAGGCGAAGGGCCATCGGCTGTGGGAAACAGAGAGGGCTGAAGGGGGCTGATGGCTCCTTTGTGGAAGGCCATGCTGTCGAAAAGCAGCCCGCTGTACAGAGACTCTCTGTTCTCCTTCTCTCTGTGGGAGTGGAAGGCTCAGGAGAGAGAGCTGCTGCTGCTGAAGAAACTCACCGACAGGGAGAGGAGGGCACTGCTCACACAACTCGACAAGTAAGACGAGCTGTTTCCAGCCTGTGCACCCAGCTACGCTATAGGCTAACCACATCCTGACTCAGGCTGCTCACTTAAAGCATCCTCTGCAGTCAGTATGAGTGTTAGTGCACAATGCAGCAACCTCTTCCATTACAGGCTGAAGACACAGGTTGTAGTTTTTAATGTGAAAACAATAGTGGACCACAAATCCAGTGATAGTGATTGAAGAGAGCAGAGCAGGGGGTCGCAACCTTTTTCATTAAGGACATTCTTCTATATTTTATGGATATTTCATATTATATTCAATGTATTATACAAAACAATGAACCCAAACAGTGAACACAATAATAACTGCAGGGATTTTGAGCAGATTATTTCCTGAGAATGTTGATCAGATTTCCTCTTATTTATAGGAACTTTTTATACAATTCTCTGTCTGTATTGTTTTTATTTATTTATTCTAACAATGATACAGACTTAATAGGCTTCCCATTTGACAAATTCAGTGTTTTCTTCTCCCGGACAATTAACCCTCTGATCTCCTTGCAGGACGAGGCTGTTCAATATAGTTTGTATATAACAAAGTCTGAACCTGAAAAAGAACAATTACGTTTTTTTACACCCCTGTAAATCAAGAAAGCCTTGCAAACCCCCGTGAAGCTTTTGTGGCCCCTAGTTGGGGTCCCGACCTCCAGGTTGGGAACCACTGAGTTAGACCAACATTGTCTCTGGCAGAATACAAAACATGGGGAGGTTTGAAGTTTTGTATTTTTGAACTTCTGGTGGCCCTGATCACAATCATTTATATTTCCTAGGATTCTTCAGGTATTGTGTATTTCAGGATGTCTTTAATTAAAGCATGCACATTTATTATTGTATTACTGCATTGCACACTCCCAAAAGGTACATGCATGGTTTCCCTCTTTATTCCCACAGAACCAGAGGTCTTTCCATCCAATCTCCCCCATGTCCTTGATTTTGTAGTGGTGAAGGTCATTGGTTCCCAACCTGGTTGAACCCCCATGAAGCTTTGGCGA